TATTATGTGCATATGTATGCATGTGTATACACATACATACATACATACAAACACATATATACACATTAGTTAGTCAATTGATTAATCAATACCCTCAATTTTGTATCATTTGCAGCTTCTTTTGAAGACTAGTATAGCAAAATACCCCCGACCCCATTTGCTACCATTTCTTTAAAATTCCAGACATCTCTTAACATATACTTTTGAAGGATCACTAAATTGCAGAAATACCCATTAGGGAATTTACATTAAAATATCTATCTTTACATAATAAAACACATCTGTTCAAAACCTTAACACTTCAATAGTAATGGGAGAACCTTCTTTAAAGGCCTCTGTCTCCTGCCAGGCAGGGACTGTCCCTGGCTGAGTGATGGGAGCAGGTGTGGGCCCTTCTCCCTCTCTGTCAATTGGTTCTGCTCGCCATCACCACAAACCCAAGTGCTTAAAGGAAAGTCCAAACCTTTCCTTAGCAACAGGTAGTCAATCACTTATTTTCTACAGAGACAGGAAGGGCCCTCTATAAAATCTGTTTGGAGGTCTGCCAGTAGCATTGAAGTCACTTAACAGTCTGGAGCCTGGCCACAATTCTTTAACATTGAAAACATAAATATGGGAAATTCATCAAATTAATATTAAACTAGAGGCTTCAGCACCTTAAAAAAAAAATTAAGTGGTTGGATCAGGAATTCCCAAGGTCCATATTTCAAGCAATGGAGAGTTTACAAAACGCTGCCTATAATTTAAGAAACTGAATTCTGTAACTAACAAAAACATCTGTCATGCCTAAAGATTAGCTTGTGAATGACAAAAAGGTGCTATTTATTTTAAGAGGCAATTAAGATGTTCCCTGTGACAGGAAAAATATAGATATAGATTACTTATATTAAATAACACATCATCCGTCTGAGGAGTCCATTTAGTGATAAATGTTCTCCGAAGAGAAGCACTATGGGAAATCTTCAGAATCTGGGTGTCCCATGTGACTAATTTCTCCCTATCTTACCTGTCTTGTGTAAGCACTCACAAGAGCCCGATTTTGTTTTGTTTGGGGGATTTTCTGCCAAAAATCACTACCTTAATTCTTGTGCTGTCAAGTACAAGAAACCTGTCACCAATTTAAACCATCAAGTTTTATTTGAAGCATTTCCACTAGATGAAACTTGATGCATCCTCTTTACAGAATGAGGATCTTAAAGTTGAAGTTGTGGTTTATGTGCTGTTATTGTGCTCAGTGGATGGAGCTTTGGTGGCTTAGTGGTAAGGAATTGTACTGCCAAATCAGAGGTACACAGTTCAAAATCACCATTTGTTCCACAGGACTCTTCCTGTGCTATTTACTATCTTGAGAAACCTGAAGCATAGTCCTTAAGAAGTTGTGCTACTAACGTAAATGCCACTTTCTGGTGGTTCAAATCTACCAAGGGTGCAAGAGAATGATGGCAATTTCCTCCCTTAGGATTGATTTAGAACTTTGGAAATGGAATGGAGGATCAGTAAGTAGTTTACGTTTCTGTTCACCTAACATGTATGTTTTTTAAAAGAGAGATTCTCAGTAAAGGTATCTGGAAAGCAGTTATCAAGCTAGATCAGGTGGAGGAACAAGGAGGGAAGTTGTTGAAAAATTAACTTTAAAAATCTATAGTAGTATACTAATGAATACTCAGCAAGGTTGGTAAATTTTTAGGAGGTCTGTAGTGGAAACAGTAACTCAAAACCAAATAAATGAATGCCACAATTCTATAGGGTCTGGGGGAAAAAAAAAAAACACACAACAAAAGAATGCTGCTGTATTTGAAATACATTTAAACTGATGTTCACTATTTCAAAACAGGATAATATCTTCCACATTGTTGGATGGAAATTTATTAATTTTTTTTTAGTTTGCTAGCAGAGTTGTGAAAGAGTTCCAACATTCTGATGTGTGACTTTATTACATTCAGTTCCGTTTTGTTCAGAAAGACATACTTCCTATCTTAAAATGAAAACCAAGGAGACAATCCTGCCCACTGTAATTGTGCCACACCAAATTTTGCTGAAACACTTCTGAAATCATTTCATGAAAGACATCATATATCAAGTATATATCAGGTATATGTTATCTTAGGATATCTAAGGTGCCCTTCCTTCTTATTGTGGTGACCTAGTGTCAGAAAATTATTTCTACCCATACTTTGGTTATTGTGAATTAAACTGACAGAAGAATGGAAAATTATGTGATCTAACAGCCATTTCAGAGCATTGAAGAAAACAATTTTCCCACACAACATCCAATATTGGTGTCAGAATATATTCAAATTTGCTATGCAATTCTGTAATCTTCCATTTTATTCCTAAGGAGCATAGACATAAATATGAGAGAAGGGCAGTCGACCTGACTGGTTTGGTATACTAATTAGCACGCCTTACATGTGGATTTTCACATGCAAAGCTGGAGTATATTTGCATTAATTACCATTGTCCCCAGAGATGCTTCACCAAGAGTCCAAGGGGGGAAAAGGGTAGGTGTCTGTATATCGACATACACATAATTATTGTTATGACCCTTTCATTGGAATTCTTCATTGTTTTCTTTCAACTATGGTAGAAGCAACTATATTAAAACATTACTTCCCTCTGAAACAGCATTCCAATTCTTTTGTTAAGCAGCCCTGTATGTGCAGCACGTTCTGCCTTTTCCTCCAGTCCTCTGATGGCTGGTTCACCTCCCTGACAAGGAAGGGACTTTCATTCCGGAAAAAACTGAACACTGATCAGAATGCCACCCTTGCCTGGTCATCCACAAATATCTAAATGACCCAAATCTAGGATTCCCGGAGCGTGCATTTGCCTACAACTCCCTAGGGATAGAAACACTGGGCGTTCCACCCATCACAAAGATAGTAAGGAGAGCTAGACAAGCCCCAAAATGGTTCACTAAAAATCAGACTTCCCGGCGCGTGGGTGAGAACCAGAGGGCAATGGTTTCTAGAATCAGACCTCCCCTCCCACCTCACCCCACCTTGGACCACTAGGAAGCAGATGCGCCACGGGACGCAGGAGCTAGATGGAAAAGGGCAGGACCCTGGCGGCTCCAGACCAGGTGGCGGCAGGGACGTGAAACGCCCAGCGCCTGGCAGTCTGGGGTCGCCGGACTCCCCTCGAAGCCCCGCCCCCCCGCCTCGCCCCCCGGCCCGCTGGTCAGCGCACGCGCGGGACCCAGCGCCCAGGCCTCTCCCAGTGGTGTCTGGCTAGAAGCGCGCTCTAGCCCAGAAAGGCAGCGCCAGTGTGTGTGCGCGGGAAGGGTGGGTGGGGGTCCGCTTCAAGTCACCGTGAAAGGGACACAACTGAGCTGGCAAGGGTATGGTGGACCGAAATCCCTCCTGATGACCATCTCTTCTCAGTCTTATTTCCTTAGGAACTGCAGGGCAGGCAGGGGACCCGCCCGAGGGCGGGATCTCTCCCACCAAGGGGTGAGCGAGACCGTTAGGCTGGAACACCAAGGGATGGTCCTGGCAGCTCCGGGCCGCCACCCGCGCCTCAATAAAAGCCTCTTGCGGCTTCCCGCCCAGCCAGCCTCGCTCTGATTGGTCGCCATGGGAGAGATCCGAGTTGGCTGGAGGCGGCAGCGGAGCGCTGCTCTCATGCCGCCGGGGGAGGGGGCGCAATGGGTGCTCCCCGGGCCGCCCCGCACGTTTCTCCTGCTTCTTCCTGGCCCTCCTGGGCATTGCTGGCTGCACCAGATTATACTGCGCTCTCCGCCCCAGTTTCCCAGGGCGCTCGAGCACTACTCCACACACGCCCCCCACCCTTGATGCATGACCACCCCACCCAGCTCTCTGAGGCCTCCCATCCTGTCCTTAAGCACCCAAGAGCAAATGCTTGGATGAAGAATACTGCGAGCAGCTAGAGAGGAGGATGGGCGCTCACGAAGAACCTTCCAGGGAGGCCAGGATGGAAACAGTCAAAATGAAATGAACCTTCCTTTTAGCTGCCCAGGGTCTCTGGGCGGCGGCGTAGCCACCACCACCAAGGCAGCATCCCTACTATCTCCTTCCAGTTCCCCATTGTTCGCACTTTGCCAGAAGCAGGAACCTCGCCCAAAGGAAGGCGGGCCGGGGTGAGGTGTTTCGAGCGACTACCTATTCTCTCGCCCCGTGCCACACTAGGCTCTCGGCGTGTGTAAAGGCACACGCGAACACACACGCGCGCACACCGAGCGCTGCTCACGCCCTCCTCGCCCTCCGCCCCTCCGCACTTCCTCCTGTCAAAACGCGCAGCTCGACCCTCCCATCCCTCTGTGCTCCAGGCCGAGAGCAGGGCTTGCAACTCGCTAGCAATTTGGCAAATTAAAAAAAAGGGAAAAAAAAAGACAAAAAAAACCCAACTAACGTCATATCGACCCCAGTGCAACCACCGCCACGCAGCAGCCCCGCAATTCCTCCCTTCTCGCCCTATGTTGCAAACCGTTATTCTGCTCTGGGTGGGGAGGGGGACCGAAGGCAGCAAGATCCACTTTCTCAGACCTGGGGAAATAACCATAGGGGTGACTGTCCTGGCCTTATTGTTCACTCTTCCCAGAGCCCAAGCTGGCAAGTCCCGGGTCTGCAGAAACTGAGCCCTTGCGGTGGCACCCCTGGAACTATGGCAGCCCCTGCCCCACCACCGCGCTGCCCGCCGCCTGCCTTCGGGGAAAGAGCGCTGCCCATCATTGGCGCGACCGCAGCGTCCCCGGGAGCGGCAGGATCCCGCTCCCACAGCCACCCGCACACAAAGTGGGAAGGGCGGGCAGAGAAGCTGGAGAGGCGCGGGGCGAGAGGCGGCAGCTCGGGCCAAGCGCTGCCCGTAAGGGTGCGGGCTCCGGGAGGCAGCAAGGGCGACACTCTCCTCTCTCAGCTCCACGAAAATGACTCGCCTTTGAATTCCACAGAAAACCACCCAAAATCACAGTGTTCCTTGAAATGGGGACTAGAGGGAAGAAAGCACTTAGCAAATCAGATAAGAGGGGGGGAAATATGTACCTGCAGTTCCCAGGAAAAACAAAGTCCAGATGAGATCCTTAGTTTGCAGCATTGTAATCTACTGGCAGGCAGGGATGTTCTTGCCGCGGTAAAAATCTGTGCCCCCCCCCCTTTGCAGCGAGCGTGGACGGCGACAGAGCAACAGACCTAGGGGCAGACAATTGCCAGGCTGAGTATGATTATTTTTGCAGAATTGTTTCCTGCCAGCGACTGCCGAGCTGTGTTCACGCGCTGATCGGAGAATGAGTGACAGTCTCAGCCTCAGCACACTCGCTACTCGGAGATCCTTGCGCTGGCCCGGGTTCGCTTTGATGGAACTGGGGATGGGAGAGAGGGGCGGGGGTGAGAACCTCACTGTGTCCTTCCACCACGCCGGCCACAAATAGTGCCGAACATCAAGGAGGTAAGAGAGACAGGAGAGGCAGATGCGACCGCCTGCAAAACGCGGCCTGGAGTTCCGGAGGAGTCTGGATCGTTCACACTCACTCTCACAGGCCAAGCTGGGGTTGCTTATTTTTTATGCTTCTCCCACTCAGCTTTACCCTCCCTCCCGCTAGCGACCCTTCTTTAATCAGTTTTGATATTTTAACAACCAATCAATTATAAAAAAAATACACTCTTAGGTTTGGTAGGTTTTTTTAAGTTGTTGAAACCTATTTAAATCCTTAATTCTTGAAACAAAAAAAAAAAAATAGAAAATAGCCTAGGTCTTTAAAAAAACAACAAACAAGTACATACACACAGAAATAGACAATTGGGGAGCGTTTTGGTTATTTCTACTGAATTATGTTTATTTGTTTGTTTGTTTGTTTAGCAGGCTTTGAAGTTTGTGCTCCCATACAGAAGCAACATATAAATCAGCAAATCCCAGGAGGTGGGAAGCAACTTAAGTAGAATAAAAGACAGATGTCTAGAAGGAGTTTCCAGAAATAACTGTAAGAAAATGGAGTCTTTTTTTATTTATAAATGCTGAGTGCTGTGGGCATTTTATGAAGATCATGCATGCAACATTAAATAATATTTTCTTGCAAGGGAGAACTACCTTAATTCATAAAGCTGTTAATGTAGATTAATTCATAGGTGCCAGTCCAAAAGGGTTTCAAATACTTTTGCAGCTGAAAGCAGGGTTAAAATGAACATGATCTCAAGACCTGGTCAGAGTTTGGTGTTTACAGAATGAAATGTGAGAAAAACAAAAGCCACAAGGTGTTCTAGATGCCACCTTAGTTTTTCAGCCTGGTGCAGTGAACTTTGTGACCATGAAGACCACCTACATTTAAAAACATAAACATACTGCACCAATGTTACCCCAGCTCCTTTTCCTCCATCTTCAGCTTGCAAACAATCAGCCAACATTAGACAGGCTGCATCTTCACTTCCTCTGTACTATGTGCTTGGACAACTGATCCACACTAACACACTGTTGATTCCAGGCACCTCAGAAAAGGATTTCATCCCTAACCCAATTTTTCACAACTTTGACTCTTGTGATACTTATTTTACACCAGTTCTACATTTAATCTGTCACTCCGGTTTATTGTGTTGTGGGGCCTTATGTACTGTTCCTTAATTTTTAAGCTATCTGCTGATATGCCAGATACCCACGGGTTCACAATGGTGGACAGATTTCAGATGCTTCTGGTTTAAGACAGATTGGGGGGGAAAAGACCTACGGTTCCATGTCCCCCAAAAAATAGTTTATAAAACCTTTAACACAAAACCAAATATGTTCCAGTGTAATGCTGTAAGAAATTTATTTTATTAGCAAAATAAATAATTTTTTTGTCAACAAAAAAATTCATTAACAAAACCAGAGTATTCTCCAATGTTATGCTAGAAAATACGCCCCTTAAATTGGATTCTGCCATCTGTGAAACAACTCATGGCTGACCCTCCAGCAGGCTTTCAGGAAGCTATAAATCATATCGAAGGAGATTGTCCCTCGTTCTTGCACAGAACCACTGGTGGATTTGAACCCCCGGAGTGGCGCTACCTTTGTGTTAGCAACCCAGCTCCCTACAAACTAAGTCAACAGAACCCTGGGTTGGAAGGTTCTCAAAATACACAGTGTCTGCAGCAATGAAGTCAGGGATACCAACAACCATGAAGATGGTGCAAGATTGGTCATTGTTTCTTTGTATAACCATGGTCATCATGAGTTCAAGTCCACTCAATAGCAATTCAAAGCAATACACATAATATGCATTCATTGTAGATAATTCAAAACTTCAAGCAAGTGGAAAGGAGGAACTAAAAACTTAAATCCAAAAGATTTCGGAGACACATCTACAGCTGCTCTACATCTTTCTATGCCTATGATTTTCATAATTGAGATATTACAGGAGCCACTTTAATTCTGCTTATTTTTCCCTAAAGTTTCATTACAAGCATTTTTCCAGGTCATTAAAAAGTCATTCTAAATATTTTTATAGCTATTTAATACTGCCTCAAAAGGGTGGTTCTTCAATGGTTCCCCCATTGTTGTGTGTTTAGATTGTTTCCAGAGACTTGATAATATAAGTAATACATGGTCTGAATATCTCTCAACAAATATTTATTGAACAAACCACTGTGTTTTGCTCTTCGCTGGGTGCAGTGAATTATGTAAAAATCAGAGGGAGGCGGTTGTCTCCTTTCGTCAAATGGTTGCTGTGCTTAAGTGTCTTTGGCTTCAGACATGAGCTTCTGCTAAGATGTGTGATTACCCCACTAAGCTTCCTACATTTATGCAGATGAAGTTATTAGGTTTTGATGACAGAGAAAGATGATGAGGAGGACAGGTCTGAAGGAAAAGGAAAAATGTGAAGCTTGAGGCCTCAAAATAAAATCTTTCCACTTGCTAATTTTATCACCAAGGGTGAGAGACACACCCTTTGCTACAAGACTCTCTATAGTGTATGTCGATAGAATTAGAAGATTCTTCACTATATTTCTCCCCAAATGCCCCTATTTTTAGCCTTTCTGTGTAGGCAGGTGTGGAAATCCTATCTCAGCGCAGCATGACTGAGTGTGGTTTCTGCTTCAGCCCCTCCCTGCCCTGGTAGATGTTGCTCTCCTGTCATAATGACTCATTCTGAAGAATTTTGTCCCACAGAATTCTTATTCCATGGATCATTCTGATAACAGGGTCCATCACTTGTTCCAAGTCCTTCAGCTCTCCACGTGACAATGGCTCTATCTGTGACTCTAGATTTCACTCTACGAACCTTACCTTAAAGCAAAACAAAAACCTGGCTCTACCTAGACCTCTCTCCCCAGAAAAATCCAGCACATATTAATGAGCTTCTGCCAGACTGGTCCTTGGAAGCAAGGATTTTTGAAACTCAAGCTCACACACTTTCGGCATGTTGCCAGGAGGGAACCATCCTTGCATCGTGCTTGGAAGGGTGGAGGGACAACACAAGAGAAGAAGACCCTGGATGAGATGGATTGACTCGGTGACTTTGGTAATGGAGACAATCATGTTGGAGACAATGAGATTGGCTCAGGAGAGGGCAGGGTTCAGAACTATTGTTTATAGGATCATTATGAGTCATAGTTGACTCAGTGGCACATAACAACAACACATGCCATGTGTTGGGAATTGTGAGGATGGCATAGGGCTAGAACAATGTTCACTTCTGTTGTTCATAGGGTCACTATGAGTCATAATCAACTTGTTGGCACCTACCAATAACAACCATGTGAACAAGGAGAACTGGTGGTGTAGTACATAAGCTGCTAAGCAAAACGTGAATGGTTTTAATGCAGTAGCCCTCCCTAGGAGAAAAGGCCTGTTGATATACTTCTCATAAAGATTACACTCTTAAGAAGCCTACTAGCTAGATTGTGTAACTACTATGTTCTATAGGATTGCTATGTGTCAGAATCAACCTAATGACCCACAACAATCAGGTGAAGAGATGTCTGGATACTGTAAATTGTTAACATGTTTGGCTACAAATCAGAAGATTGATAGTTCAAGTCTAGCTGGCAGCATCTCTGAAGAAAGACTTAGTTTTCAATTTTTTTAAAAACATAGACCATTGAAATCCCTATGTAACACTATCTTCTTTTCCAAATGATGCACATAGAGTCACCTGGACTCAGAATTAACAACAATTGGTTGACTATGTAAGCATTCATGGTTTTAAAACAGGAAGATGGAACTAGCAGAGTGTTTTAGATAGAGCTATGGGAGCTCTCCCAAAGACTGGTCCTTCCTGGCAAAATGCCCAAAATATATTAGATGGAGTTTTAAAATCCTTGCCTTCAGGGAGCAGACTGATTTTACCTTCTCCAGGACAGCCCTGTTTGTTTTCTCAGTAGTCCAAGGTATGTTCAGTACTCTTTTCCAGCTCCGCCTCTCAAAGTCATCGAGTATTCTTCTGTCATTCTCATTCATTGTGCAGCTCTCTGATGCATAGCAAGTAATTGTGAAGACCATGGCCTGAATCAAATGCACCTTAGTCTCTGGACTAATATCATTGCTCTTCAGCACTCTGGACAGGTCCTTGACAGTAGCTTTTCCCAATGCAATTTGTCTTTTTATTTCCTAACTGCTGGTGCCTAGAGTGTAAATGAGTCTTTGGGGAAGGATATCATGTTTGGAAGGGTAGAGGGACAGCGCAAGAGAGGAAGATTCTGGATAAGATGGATTGACACAATAACTGTGGTAATAGGGGTAGGTGTGTCAGAGACAGTGAGATTAGCTCAGGATAGGTCAAGGAGCACAGCTATTGTGCATAGAGTCTCTCTGAGTTGCAGTTGACTCGATGGCACATAACAACAGCAACATGGAAGCTCTAGTGGCTTAATTGTAATGAGTTACATTGTCAACCCAAAGGCTCACAGTTTGAATCCACCAGCTGCTCTATGGAAGAAAGATGAGCACTCTCCGGTGTGATTAAACTGCTTCTGAAAACACACTGAAGGGTCAACTATGAGTTGGTTCTATCTCAACAGTGCATAACAATGTCTTCCAGAAAAACAGAAGTGGTCTAAAAATAAAGCCAACTGTGATGGATGGGATGAGTCTAGCACAGAACAGCAGCAGGGAAAAAGGAAGCAAACAGCATCACAATTTTTTTAATTCCAATTCATTGGTTTGCTTTGGGTTGTTTGGTTTGTAGGGTTTTTTTGTTTTGTTTTGTTTTTTTGTTTCTGTACTTACATTATTTTTATTGTATTATTAAAAACAAGATAAGGAGGGGCTTAATAATTTATACTGTGGTCTTTGTTAACAGGAATTAATTAATTCAATCTTTGACATCTTACTTTCACAGGA